GCAGAATCGGCTAATTAGTCATGCGAGTTAAAGTTCGCAACATCAGAGCTAATGTTTCTATTTCACATTTTGCACATGACTCCTTTTTCGTAAAAGCCAAAAAACACCTCATCCAAGTGTAAAATCTTTTATGCAAATTTCAGGGAGTAAATTCAAAAGTTGCCATTTCCATCAGGCTTTTCAGATGTGATGCTTCAAAATATGTTTTAGAAAAAGCTGATTGAAACCAACCTAATAAGTCACCAAGTGCTTTCTATACCACTTTAAATTATGAGTCTCACTCATGAGTGTCATGTCTAAAGAATTCACCTATTCATGCAAAGCTTATGAAAAACATCTCAAACTAAACGCCAAGTAAACAGTGCTATAGGCAGGATTAATTTAATTTTCTTATGAAATCTTGGCATTTGGGTACAGGTGGCTATGCATCAGGTGGAAACTGGATTTTTAAAACGGCTATCATCATAAGGAACAAATAAATGTCTGTGTCTGTTTAGAGAATGCCTGCATAGTTTAGACCCTCACCCTGCCACATAGTTCATGCACACATTGTTTGATTGATGGCATGAAAATCATTGTGGCCTTTCGCCATATGAGCCTCTTTTTCATGCACATCTGCAGACAATTAGCAGTGTCAGCAATGGTGGATGTGCTGGAGATTGTCTGCATTGTATGCCAGCTTAAATGTGAAGAGGTCGAGACTGTTTTCCTAAACTAAAATGATTCAGGTTATTCTCTCAGCACATAGTTACTGTGAAATATCTCTGTCTTTTCAGTTGGGGTTATTCTTTGTAGGAGTCTATGCCTTGGCAGAGCTATCTAGGGACTCATTAGTAGATCTATAATATTTACAAAGTATTGTGTCTGAGGGTTTTATACAGTAAGTCAGTGCTAATGAAAAAAGGTAAATCTACACTACAGTAAGTTTAATAAATGTAGGTTATAGAACTGTTTAAATCATTTATTCGAAGCCACATACAACTGCAAAGTATTGTTTCTACAACCAAATCCAAGTACTTGATAACAGCATATATTAATCATCCTTTAGTAACAAAATTTGGTCTGAACAGATAAGTAACTGAAATCTTTTATTTTTTATATTTATTTAATTGAACAGATTATTGGTGGGTTTTCTATATCTCTGGGCAAAGCATAATGTTAACATTTCACAGAGAAATATGTGTGTAAGTTTTGTCAGACTGGTAGAACTATTACATTGCAAAATACCATATTATTTTTTACTTTTTTGTATTATATTAAGAATATATTTCTTCTACCAATGCAAGGCTGTTAACAAATGGACATTATGTATTTGTTCCTAATGGGCTTCTGTGATCTAATTACATGTAATTAGACACATATGAGGAATGAGTCGAATGCTGTCTGTAATATGAAGTAATTAGTGTTGTGACTGCTTCAAACCAGATGTTTTATCAAAGCTAGTCATAACGAGGGCATCCATAGAAATAGACATGTGAGCAAAAACACAGTAATTATGAAGATAACTATCCATGCTATATGACCTATGTCTCTAAAAATAGAATCAAACCTGAAAATAGTTTCAAGTAAGATTTTATTGGACCTTATTCAACCCCCTTCTACATCCAATCACCAATTATTAAAATGACTAGTGCGATGTAAAGTGGTTTTAGAGCTGATTTAAGATGTTATCCTTCAATAGAATAAAATGAAATCAAATTACGGTTCCTGTCACTAACAAACGTGAACGATTCAATTGCTGGCCAAGACTTATAATGGCACTTTTATCATCTATTCATCTATTGCATGCATGCATCTATTCACTCCACTGCAGAGAGTCAAGCAGCAAGTCGATTCACAGGCAGTTGCCTGAGCACCTGACAGTCAGATAAAAAGTGTGAGTAAAGCTCAGTTGACAGAAAACAGGGATCCAGGTTAAGTAGGACAAATAAAAAGGGCTTTTAAATAGAAGTATTTTATTTTTGTGATGTTTAAGTCTAGATAAAGATATTGGCGACTGGCTGCCCCACTACCCAAATGACCTTGATTAAGGTAAACAAAAAACAAATAAAAATTAAATTATAAAATTAAAATATTTCAAAATATATTAATATATTTTTTAGATGTGCAAGATAAATATTTAATCTTTAATGATGAGTAAAGCGGATTTGTTTGTCTTCAGATTGGTGATGTATTTCCACCCTAGGTCGCAAACATTTTTCCCATTGACTCTCGTTAAAAGTGGTACTCGAACAGTAGCTCCTCTAAAATACAGAAGAATAGGAGAGCTCCAAAGATATGCCCCGAGCTGACAGGAACTATCATAACAGATGTTGTGCAAGTGATTGACAGGCCGAGTCGCAGGAGGGAAGCAAATTTACCAAGAGAAGCTGGAGGTGAAACAGTTTGAACCTGACCAGCCAAACATCAGAATTAATCAGCAGTCCAAAGACAGATGGAGATGATACAGATGGAGATGGTTCAGCTACAAGGCTTGGCTAACTGCATGCAGCGAGGATAATGCTTTATTTTGCTGCCTTCACTGCCTGCCTCCTTTTTCAAACATTAGGATCTGAACCAGCATGGATAAAGACAAATACTGTAGGACTGATTTAAAGCACTTTTTAGAAAAGGTAAGGAAGCATGATGAATCTGGGATTCACGTAGAAAATAACATAATATAGTGTACTTTTTCTAGATGTTTGTTAATTTACATAGTTGCTCTTTAATAAACACATTCTCAGAAAATAAATAACTTTTATATATAAAAAAATATAAACCTGACTAATAGCTTCTCCACTATTAAACTGGTACATTATTTTAGGTTTGTGACACAATATTGGACCATGCAAAACACAGATTTGCCTTCACAAAGTCTCAGAAGGGCAAGATTCATGTACAAAAAATAAACGTGTACGTGAAATTATGTTTTTTTCAGATGGCCGCTCACACTGAGCCTGGTTCTGCAGGAGGTTTCTTCCTGTTAAAAGGGAGTTTTTCCTCTCCACTGTCGCTACAAGCATGCTCAGTGTGAGGGATTGCCTTTGAGTCAATGAGTTGATGCAATTAACTGGTTTTCCTTAGATAGAAAACTTTGAATCAATTTGACTGTATGATCTGGTTGAACTGTAAAGTGCCTTGAGATGACGTGTTGTGAATTGGCGCTATATAAATAAACTGAATTGAATTGTGATAACTTAGTATACATTTGATTGGTTTTTGGTATGTGCTAAATTTAATTTATAGCTCCTCCTGGAGAAAACTCCACCAGCTGCCACTGGGGACATGGCTAATGTAAAACTTAACAAGAAGACAGTGATCTAACCCCTGTACAACTATCTAGTGTCATTAAGGTGTTGTCATTAAGCTTGGTTGACTGACAAAACCATGCCATAAAACAGAGGAGCTCAAAGCATGGCCCCATTTAACCTTTATTGAGCACAGTTCAAGGTACCAACAATTTGAGGCACCTGCACAATTTATGCAGGTGGACATTTATTTATTTTTTGAGAGTGAAACCCTTACAAAGCAAATAAATCTGCTCTTACGATAGAAAATGTGAGGTATTTCTGAAACTATTTGCCTCCTATCAATCATTTTTGGTATTTCATTTTAAACTAAACTGTGAACGCCTAACCTGGGCAGCAGAGCCACTCCATATTGATGCAGCAAGCCTTGTAATAAAAAAAAAAAGGGCCTTGATTTAATACGTAGTCTTACTGTATGTGGGCATATGTAGTTTTCAGGAGGCCCGTGTTTCTGTATCAAAATTACAGCTTCTAAGAAACTGGAATTGGTCTATTTAATGAATAACTCAAATTACTGATCTATGCAACTCTATTCTATGTCTCTATATACATATAGATTTATATGTGCTAATGTTTTTTTTTTAAACTAATTTAATTATAACCTGATTTTTTAGGTTGCAGCTGTATTTACTGTTCTGGAGGTCCACATCAGGTATCCGTCATACACACAGTAACAAATGCTGAAAAATGACAGTTGCAATGGTTGCATATCTTTCCTCTCCCTGGCCCTCTGTTCAGTGTGCTCACTCAGGCAAATCATTTAGAGGATTTCTGGATATGGGTGACAAAATTCAGACCTACAACCAGTGCTTCCACACTAATGATTATCACTTCCAGCAGCTCCAGCTCACCCCTTCCAGTCCCATTTCCCTGTGTTGGAAAGACATAGTACATACCTGACAGCAAAAATATTTTACTCATCATCTCTGCAAGTAGCCCTGAAGGCTGCTTCAATGCTCACAAAAACAGTTCTAATAAAAATAAAAGTAATATTTCTAAATCTACCTCATATTGCAATATTTCTCCAGTTTATCCTAAGCAAAGGTCTTGACCCACGGGTTGGCAATAAGGCAATAACACTAATTAATATTTCATGACCCTTTGAGGAAACGTTTGAAGCCTATTGTGAAGCCCAGGAGCCCTGAAACCTTGACAAGCTCACACCCTTCTCATTACAGTGGGACAACCACGATTACTGTTCCCACACAGTGAGCTGTTTGGTGAGGCCGCATAGAGCGGGGGATCTTATTTTTGGTTTTCCTTTTAAATGCAAGATACAAGAGGAATAAGAATCACAGGTAGTATAGTATATGCATAAAAATAGTCTGAAAATGAAAAAAAAGAGGTGACTTGGAGGCAAAAGGAAATAAGTTCCCTATTTCTTAGATTTCTTTTCAGCTGTTATGACTCAAAAATGACTTTTAAGTATGAGAGTATGATGGCAAGGAAGGAAATGTGTTTCATTTTGAGCACTTACTACAGCACTTTAAATCCTGCACAATAAATTCAGACCTGCAGATGTTCCTAAGTGGGTCTTCTGAGAACCCAAGAGGCCAATTAAGTCATTAAGAAGCCTTGGCTGAAAAAATGTTTTTGATTTATTTGACATCTAATCAGCTCAGAAAAGCCTGAAAGCATTCAAATGTCTTAATCTTTAGTCTCTTTTATATACTTTGTTAGAGAGTCACTCTCAGATGAAAACTGAGCACCTACCTGAAGCAGAGGAAGAAATAAGTGGAAACTTTCACAGCAAAATCCAAGCTTCCATAAAACCCGAGAAACCACTATCCAACATCAACACAGAGACTGAAGGACCTGCTTTACAAACATATGTAGGAAAATGTTTGGGGAAAAAATTCAAGTGATAATCTGAGATAATCCTCTGTTGTCATAAAGTGTAATCCTGTTAGCGTCATGATCATTTCAAAGACTTAGTGCATCAAGTGTTGATAGAAAAAAAAAGAAGTTAAGTTGCCAGGTTTTCCAGGTCTGGAATCATGACGGGCGTGTCATAATCTGCGACTTTCCCTGCATATCCTTAGGGCTCCTCCTTCTGGATCGCAGCTCTCACTGAGTTGCCTTTCCAGCCGTCTCTTCCACCTCAGGTTCAGCTTAGACTCAGGCGTCCCCTCTTCTTCTTTCTCTTGCTGTTTTACTCTGTGGCTTCCTCTGTTTCTCATCCTCCTCTATGTGTTTAGTGGCTTTTATTCTTTTTCCTCACCCACCTCCTTCTATTAGCTCCACGATCGCAGCTTGTTGCACAGCTGACAGAAGCGCAACATCTCTAACGCTCACTCTCCTCCCTCTCGCTCGCTTTTTCTCTGCCTCTCTCAGCTCCTTCTGTTGTTATCAGTTTTCACTTTTCACTCTCCAACAGATACACATATGCCATAGTCTAGGATGCATATGCACATTTTGCATGGATATTTTACCAGACAAACTATTTAGACTGTTTTTTAATGTGAAATGGCTCCAATATAAGAAGAAGCAAGGGAACAATACTCAAGGATTTAAAAGGTTAAAGTCTGGGTTTTCAAATATATATTTATTCTAATTTAATTCACAAACTACAACTAAATATGGGTAGAAATGAAAAAAAAAAAAAAAAAGCAGTTAATGCATAAAAAATTTTACTGATTTTCTCCCTGATTTAACCCCAATTAGGAAGAGTCTGTATCAAGCTGTCAGTCAAGCAGGAGCAGTCAGTGATATATAAGGTGAAAACTGGAGTCTGCAACGGTGTGAAGGCACCCATCCCCTCCTAAGTAGCAGTCAAGCAAACACATTTTGATTTCTTTGAGGCAGACCTGGATGTGGTCAGTGTAAATGGATCATAGACCGAGCTGCTAATGCATGCTGAAAGAAGCCAATGAAGAGGAGAGGCTGCCATATGGTGGTATCAGCTAGCTGACTTTCATACCAATGTATTTGTAAATATAAAACACTCTAACTGTAAAACCACCAGGGTTAATACACGTTGTTAACTAACTGATTACAATTACATAATAATAAAAACATGTAATAAAAATATATAAAGCAACTGAGAAAGCCTTGAGTAAATAATACATGGCTCTATTGGAATCAAACCCCCCAAAAACTCCAAAACATATTGAACATAACTGTAAAATGATTTATTTCAACAGGTAAATAAATATGGCCTATCTGAATTCTGAGTGTCTTCTAGACAAAGAAAACGGATCAAAAAAGGAACTTTTCGTTCATATATTAAGAATATATTCTTAATGATTTGTCAGATATGATATAGAATGATGTTGATAGCAAAAGAGGAAAATGCCATCCACTGAGCAGAGAATATAATTGTTGGACTAAAACCTGTCTCCATACAGGTAAAAATGTTATTCATTCAATTTTATCTTCCCACCAAAACTCAAAGTTTATGGCTTTCATGCATAAAAAATCTGAAAACATGAAGAATATGTTCAAAAGTTCAGTTTTCATTCATATTTCAATCCTTTTTTTCATCGTGTGTGTTGGGATCTGGAGGTCTGTCCACCTTTCTCCAGCAGAGGGCGCCCTAGGTCTCCTGGAGCTGAAGCTGACTACCACACCTGCGGCTCGTTTGCTCATCAGGAGACCAGCATTTAAGCAGTGGCAGAGCAACACTCCAGTGCCAGAGTGTTAAGCCAGTTACGGTTAGCAAGCCTGAGCCAACCAACCTGTCAGAGAATCAGACTTCCCTGAAACCTTAACCTTAACCTGAACCTAACCTGTTTTGTT